GGGATTTAGGGATAATTCTCAAGAAGATGGTTTTCCATAAATATAGAGGGAAACGAAGTGAACTTGAATTCCTTAAGTTCATTTCCAGGAAAGCGCAAGAGCTACAGACATTGTATGTTCTGCTAAACAGGCAGAGTCTTACTTCGGTGGCCAAGGAGGCAGAGATGACAAGCAAATTGGTGGCTCTCTCGGAGGTAGCATGGAGCTGTGATTGCAAGATAATGGTGCTAGGCCCTGAATTTCAGAATGATTGGAGCGTCCAGAAAGCATCTGACCTTACTGTGGATGACCCGTTTCACTACTGAATCAAAGCTGGCTATACATTTGCATGACCCAAAGATGTTTTTCTTTTTCTGCAGAGAATGATTTACTGTTCTACATATCCAAGGGCACTGTTTAGTTTGTAGGCAAGTATGTTTGTTCTTGACAAAGAACATGAAGATTTCAACTAGAGCATGAGTGTCTTAAAGTGTTGAAGCTAGCTGTACTATGCGTCATTCAGAATGTACTATTAACTGTTATCTACTCTGTTTAATCCTGATGTAAAAGACCAGTCTGATCCTCCTTCCGAACATGTTTATGTTGATTTCATTTTCCCCTGTTTGATGGCGTCTATGTCAATTTCATTATCATCAGATAATCAGAGTATACCGAGCTACTTAGGTGTGCTTCTGATTTCTACTCCCTCCGTTCGGAATTACTTGTCTCGGAAATGGATGTATCTAGAACTAAAATACATCTAGATACATCCATTTTCACGACAAGTAATTCCGAACGGAAGGAGTACATTGCAGCTTTTACTTCTACATATTATTCCTGAACAATATTATCTGTTAATATATTAATTCAAAAGAAGTTTCAGTTTCAGTTTCATAGTTTCTCATGTAGTCATGTAACTGTTGAACCGTCACCACTAGTTTTCATGCTTTTCAGCTCCAGTCACCGTGAATAATGGATCTGGAAGCCTCCCCGGGAGTCATATCTCAGGAAAGCCTCCGCTGAAAATGGCCGCCGCCAAGAGCTCCTGTGGCGCAAGGAGGCACGACCGCCGTCCACCGGGCAGGGTTTTCCTGGCAGCGAGGTAGGTGGGAAGGGGATGATACTAGGGCGGTGGTGGGAAGGGAAGGAATCACACGTCCACCCTGAGTTTGGCTGGCAAGTTCGTAGTTTAACTGCTCCCTCCGTTCACAAATATAAGATGTTCTAACTTTTTTGTGAATGGATGTCTACAGTCCACTCATTTCAGTTCATATGTAGTTCATATTTCAGAACATCGTATATTTATGAACAGAGGGAGTAGTTAATAACAAGTCACTACCAATTAATCGGCACAAGTAAACATGGCAAACAACCGAATGATCGTCTCAATAGTTCAGACTTTAGGCACACACACATGGGGATCAACTCATATGTAATGTTAGGTTATCAGCAACAGCCGAAACATGCAGCAATCTCAACCAAAAGAGGGGAGAAAAGGTGTGAAGCATAAACATGAGCCAGAAAAGACATCAAAATTCCGAAGGAAGTTCCGAATGGGGAATGAGATGATCTTCTTATGAAGACACTACCACCTTCTGAAGCCGCAAATGGAGCATTTGCATTCCTGTTTACTGAAAGGAAAAAAGCTTCTGCAGAAATAACTTTGAAGATATTCCCTCTGAAAGCTTCTTACTGCAGAAATAACATTTGTGCAACATCATAGACAACGCACGGACTTTTGTTGACGCTCCACATGTGTAACACAAAGGTCTAGGGATCTAAACTGAAGATGCCCTGTCAGCCACCCATGAATGATGAACTCTCTTGTGGTGCAGGAAGTAAATCACAACAGGCAGTGTCAGTAAGCATCCATACGGTTCCTGATTGATACTAACAATTTTTACTCATGTGTACCTATGTGCGCAAGTAATCAGTGAATAACTGAATATGCGTGTGCTCACTGCCCCATTCTATAGCAGAGCATAAGCCAACACAACTACACAAGGCATGTCAACTTTCAAGAATTGATAGCTAAATTATCCAATCAAACTCAAGATACAAACACACTATTCAATTTAATCTTGTCATTTTTGTCTAAATCACAAATCGTTACATTATTGGATGAATCTTTACAAGTACACATTACATAGCACTACTAACATTCCTGAATTATTTCACATTTTTTGAGAATCAGAAAAAAAATGAAGAGGAGAGCGAATATTACTTGCACCGTTGCAGAAAATCCTCTTTCCACCAGTGTATTGTTATTTTCTTAAAATAACTACCATATAAATATTTTTAGTGGAAAACTGAAAATTATGCACTACATAGATGCACTAAAACATTATCTCATGAACTTTGTTGCGCGCTTTGAGTTGCCACCATGAAAGCAAAGTAATCCTTCTTAATGTTTTTGAGCCTCACGACCACGTCGCTCATGCTTGCTCTCCGACTAGGAGAGTCGTCCGAACACTCTAGACCCAGTTCGAATATCGACACAAGAAAGTTTCCATTGCAGGCAATGGAGGATGACGGCGACGAAGTATTAATTGTTTGGTGATGGAAGGCAAGGTTCATTTCTTCACCCTGTTGTAGCTTCTCATCCAAAACATCAACGAGCTTTGCTGGAAATGCTTGCGAAACCCACCACCTGAGGCTAGATTCCCCGACGAACATAGCGTCCGTGGGCCTCTTCCCTGTGAAGACTTCAAGCAACATGATCCCGAAGCTGAACATGTCAGTCTTTCGTGATGCCTTTCCCATGAATGCTAGCTCTGATCAAGCCAAAAAAAACAACATAATTAATTAATCAAACCAATAAATGATGATTATCTATTCAAATAAATTGCTCCTGTCTGATCATAACAAGTACATACCAGGGGCCATGTACCCAATTGTCCCCGGCATACTTGCTGAAACCATGGAGTTGTCATCATGTAGAAGTAACTTTGCAATGCCAAAGTCGGCAACATGCGCCGTCATGTCGTCATCGAACAACACGTTGCTAGGCTTCAGATCGCAGTGCAAGACAACTTGGAAATGATGATGGTGCAGGTACTCCATTGCCTCTGACACGGCAAGCATAATGTCCAATCTCTGGATGAATCTTAGTGGTTCCCTTATTTCGTTGTGCAAGTGTGTCTCCATGCTACCATTGGGCATGTACTGAAGGAGCAGTGCCTTGAAATCCAAGCTGGAACATGCATTCAATATTTGTATCAAGTTGCGATGTCGAGCCATGCGCAACACTTGACATTCAGCATCAAAACTCCTCACGGCCTGCTCGACTTGCATATTGAGCACTTTTATTGCAACCACCAAACCATCATCTAATTGGCCCTTGAAACTTTGCCAAAACTTCCAGTACCAAGTAGGTTGTCCTCATTGAAATTTTCAGTGGCACGAGCAATCTCATGGTAGGATACTAACCTATGGCTGATCAGATCAGTCATGCTAGTAGAAGCCGTACCATAATATTGTTTCTTATTTTTCTTGCTGACCATTAGGTACATGGTGGTTGCAAATGCACCAACTCCAATGATGGCAACCGGGAGTATAAACTTGAGGATGTGTCGACTATAAGTCAAGTGAGACTTGTGCGGACACGGTGACAGTCCTAGACGAGGAGCACCACATAGCCCAACATTCCCCATCAAAGATTGCAAGGTGAGGTTTGAGAAAACACCTCCATTTGGTATTTGCCCTTCTAACCCATTGAAGGAGAGGTTCAGAGAAGAAAGGTAGGTGAAGTTGGCGAGGTAGTCTGGTATTGTACCTGAAAGGTTGTTTGACGATAGGTCCAATGTTTCTAAGTTGGTTAAGCGGCCGAAAGAGTTTGGGACTAAACCCTTAAATGAGTTGTGCGAAAGATTTAGGTAGGTTAATAACATGGCAACCTGTCCAAATGAACTTGGAAGGCTACCAGACAAGAGGTTACCAGAAAGATCTATCCAGTCCATAGTTTGCATATGGCTAAGATCAGAAGGTAATGTACCGGTTAGGGAATTATGGGACAGATCTAGTTGGATAAGGTTACTACGATAAAATAAGCTTGATGGAATTGACGAAGATAAACGGTTATAAGAAAATGAAGTGTACTCTAACATGGTGAGGTCGCCCATGGCATCTGGTATGGAGCCAGATAACATATTGTCCCAGAGTTGTAACTCTACAATACTTCTCAGCATACCAATTTGTACAGGGATTGGGCCAACCATTCTATTTCCTGAGAGATCAAGTGCTTGGAGATTCTCCAACTTAGAGAGGGTTTCTGGTATTTCTTTGGTAAGATGGTTGTTGGCAAAGTTTATCTTACGAAGACTACTAAGATTTGACAGTGTTTCTGGAAGCCCACCAACCAAATTGTTATTCAATGCTTCAAATACTACCAGGTTAGTCGAGAGGTTACCAAAATAGTTGGGAATACTCCCAGTGAAAAGATTATTTGATATGGTGAGGTATTGAAGTTGGCGACAATTGCAAAGGCTGGACAAGAAACTAAGATCCCCTTGGAGACGGTTATCTTGAATCAAAGTTCAAAAAAGCGCTAGGCACTAATTATGCGTTTGGGCACCTACTTGCGCTTTTCTAGCTTAGGCATGATTAGACGCAATTAGGCGCAATTAGGCGTTAGTACTGTAACGTGAAGAAATAAGCTAGATGGGCTGGGCTAGCCCACTAAACCATAGGCCCATCTTCGTATCCTCCTACTAAAAGCTCTCGTCTGCTGCAGTCGATAGGAAATTTAGGTTTCCTCCTCACGCCGCCTCCCCCCCTCGTCCTTTCTGTCTCGTTGCACGAGGCTGCCTCCCTCCCTCTTCCTCTGTCCCTTGTCGGAGAAGCTCGATCCCTTGCCGGAGAAGCTCAATCCCTCGCCGGAGAAGCTCGATTTGTCGTCGGGGCAGTTGAATCCCTCGTCGGCGAGGATGAATCCTCGCAGGGGAGGTCGAATCCTCGCCGGGGAGACTGATTTCTCACCTCAGAAAGCTGATTCCTCGCCGGAGAGGCTGATTTCTCGCCGGAGGACCTCGCCGGCCGCTTTTTTGAGCGCCTAGGGCCAAAGCGAGGCGCTATGCCAACGCCCAGCGCTTAAGCGCGCCTAGGCGAGCGCCTAATAGCGCCTTCTTGAACAGTGTCTTGAATACTAAGAATCAGAAGAGGTTTGTTGTTTCCAAGTGTTGATGGTACTGGTCCAGTCAGTTGATTCATTCTCAAATTTAAGAAATACATTTTTGTCGAATTTCCTAGAAATTCCGGGAAGGGGCCTGTTAGTTGATTGTGCGAAAGGTGCAGATAATTGAGTTGTCTCAGTTCTCCTAATTCCACGGGAATATCTCCGCTTAAGTTGGAGTTTGCGATGTCAAGTACGCTGAGCATGGTGAGATTGCCGAGCACAGGCGGGATCAGGCCAACGAGGTCATTGCCTCCCATAGAAATCGCCGTAAGCTCTGGTAGCGTAGCCAGCCATGTTGGCACCACATCCACGAATAGATTTCCAGGAATGGTAAGTATCCTAAGATGCTGGCATGATGCAAGGCCCAATGGAATTTGACCCCCGAAGTTGTTCCGGTAGAGATCAAATATTTGCAACATGGGGAGACTAAAGCTTCTGTTGCTAGGTATATGACCTGTTAGATTGTTGTTCCCCAGACGCAAGTCAACAATCCTAGACATGTTGAAGATGGTAGGAGGTATTGGACCGGAGAGCTGGTTACGCCTCAAGTAAAGAACCTGGAGCATGAGCAAGGAGCCAATACCAGAAGGTATTGGGCCGGATAGACTGTTGTTGTTAATGTATATGTGTCTCAGTGAAGGCGTGCTGTCAAATGAAAAATTCGGCATGAGGCCAGTAATGGAATTTATTCCGAGAGAGAAGTAGCTAAGGCTACGCATGTTTCGCACCTCACCGGGGATCTGCCCCAAGAGCTGGTTGAAATTTAGGACCAGAAACTGAAGCCTGGTGAGGTTTCCAACGGTAGACGGGATTGTATCCGACAGGCTATTGTGGCCAAGATCAAGGTACCTAAGACGGGCTAATCTTCCAAGATCAGCTGGGATAGAACCGGTGAGGTTCGTATTGGTCAGGTTAAGGGTGTGGAGGAAAGAGAGGTTACCGAGGTGAGGGCTGAGCTCTTCTTGGAGGGGAATGTCCGGCAGCTCCAAAGCGGTGACACGCTGGTGCTGACGCCGGCTGCACAACACACCGATCCAGGTGCAGAAGGACGCACCGGTTGTCCAGTTATTGGCAATGATAGCCAAAGGGTCGGAGAGCTGGGATTTGAAAGCCAGCAGCGGGCAAGGTCGGTGTTGTTGCTCGGGGCAGGAGATGAAGCAGCCATGAGCAGCAAGCTGGTGGCCATCAGCATGGCCGGAATGTATGAACGGGCCATGTCGTCGCTCCACTCGCATCTGCGCAAGTTTTTCGGGTTTGGGACGAGCAGGCAATGTTAATCTTCAGTCACCTATATAAAGATACTCACCAAAGATAGACTCGAGAGTGTTTGGACTGGATTCCGGAACTTGGCATTGTCATGCTTTGTCTCAAGTGAGACAAGTCATGTTGCCCCGGTGACCCGTTTAACTTGTACTACAACACTTCATTCCATTCTACTCCCTCCGTTCTTAAGTATAAGTCTTTTTAGAGATTTTAATATGGACTACATACCAAGCAAATGAGTGAATCTACATCCTAAAATACGTTTATATACATCCGTATGTAGTCTATATAAAAAATCTCTAGAAAGACATAAAACCGACGAAGTATTAGCTAGACCAAACGGGGCATGAGCTAAAGTTCTACGTATCATATCTTCGTCATCTGAGTGTTTTACTTGCAGACCTATGGTTGCTAGTCTTATGTGGCCTGGGATTATCATGGACGGAAGACCTTGACTAGCTTGGTGAAACTTGCGGCCACAAGCATGGAGCAGTCGGCAATCAATCATAGCCTCATAAGTTACCCTTCTTCCACGGGCAAAGAATTTTCTGCGGCGATAATGACCCGAAAGAAGCAGGAGAGTTTACTAGTGCTTTTTTTTAAAACAAAAATGTGATAAATACAACAAAAACAGAAAAAATAATTAGAGAATCAATGCAGCAAAAAGGAAGGGGTAAATAAAAGAAAGTTGCTGTGCACGTAACTTGCTTTGTAGCCAAGGTGATAGAGGTTCATGATAGACGCCTTTGCTTCGAGGATCGCCATGCCAACGTCTGCCTTGAGCGAGGGCCCTTCCATACAAAAATTTACAGCGTCCTGGGCAAGAAGGCGGCGATTTGCAGTCACCGCAATGATGACGTAGTTTGATTTTGCAGTTTGTTTACGAAACCGTGTTCAATGGGGGTCGATAGGAAGCACGAGGGATGCCCGGCGTGTTTGCAAGGAGGGAGGCGACACATAATAAAGGTTCCATAACAAACACGCCGACCATATAAAGCATCTTCAATTTATTCAGAGCTCACTTACCATTCTAGCTCTTGCGCACGACTAAATGGTTCTTGCGGTGGCGGCAGTCTACTGAAGTGCTACGATCTAGACGTGGAGTGGTCAATATGCAGATTAACTCAATGTGGGTGAGCAGTAAGGCAGATCGTTCTTTCCACCTAAGTTTGATTCAGGTGCTACTTGATCAACAGGTCTAGGCTGACTGGAAGGGTAGAGTATATAGTAGATCCAACAATGCTAGCTGGTTTATGAAGCAACACCTAAATATATAGCACAAACCAAAGCACACAGCGTTTGGCATCCTGATACTAGTCTTTTACTACACTAGGAACAAACATAAGGGCATTACATAATACGGTACATTCTGAATGAAGCATAGCACAGCCAGTTCAACACTTCCACGTACTCGTGCTCTAGTTCAAGTCTTCATGTTCTTTGTCAAGAACAGACATACTCTTGCCTACAAACTAAACAGTGCCCTTGCATATGTAGAACAGCAAATGATTCCCCCAGAAAACGCTTTGGTTCATGCAAATATATAGCCAGACACAAACTCACCAATGGAAAGGGTCGTCGACAGTAAGATCAGATGCTTTCTGGATGCTCCATTCATTCTGAAATTTAGGGCCTAGCACCATCATCTTACAATCACAGCACCATGGTACACCCGAGAGAGCCACCAGTTTGCTTGTCATCTTATCCGCCTTGGCCACCGAAGTAAGACTCTCTCTGTTTAGCAGAACATACAAAGCTTGGAGCTCCTGCGCTCTCGTGGAAATGAACTTAAGGAATTCAAGTTCAACTTTGTTCCCTCTGTATTCATGGATAACCATCTTCTTGATGTGAGACTTGATGCATTCAATAGTAGGGAGCTCCTGCCAGAACTTGGCATTGTTCCTTCCAGTGGGTTCAGTTAAAGACTGGAATGTCATATCAGTAAATGGTTAATTAGAGATGGATAATGCAAGAAGCAATAATTTCCATTGCTAATAAATAGAAGTATGAGTGCCAAATAACCACTTCCAGTGGGTTCAGTTAAAGACTGGAACGTCATATCAGTAAATGGTTCATTAGTGATGGATAATGCAAGAAGCAATAATTTCGATTGCTAATAAATAGTGGTATGAGTGCCAAATAACAACTTCAGTTAAAGACTGGAATGTCATATCAGTAAATGGTTCATTAGTGATGGATAATGCAAGAAGCGATAATTTCCATTGCTAATAAATAATGGTATGAGAACCAAATAACCACTTCGAGTGGGTTCAGTTAAAGAATGGAACATCATATCAGTAAATAGAGATACTACCTCCGTCCCGGTGTATAAGTCATTCGCGTAGTTCTAGGTCGATAATTTAACTATCTAAATATGTATTATATGTGACAAAAAATATATATTTAGAAACTACATCCGTGTGGAAATCTAGTGGTATACTTTTCATGACATATAACACATATTTAATTCCTCAAATCGATGACCTAGAACTACGCGAATGACTTATACACCCGGACGGAGGGAGTAGATAATGCAAGAAGCAATAATTTCCATTGCTAATAAATAGTGATATGAGTGCCAAATAACCGATTGAATAATTGCATGGGGTGCCAAATAACCTCGATGTGCAGCGTCTCAACGTTGGGAAAGCATCTGAGGTAGGTCACCAGCATCTTGACATCCTCTATGACACCAAAATTAACTTTAAATGCCAATATCTTGACGCTTGGAAGCACTGTGCTTGGGCTCGGCTCTGTGCCAGGCTGCAATGGTCGAACAATGCACCAAAAGAAGCAGATATATATGTCATGCATCTCTATTCTCTTTAAACATTATGTATTAGCAATCCATGGAATCATGGAAACTTGGGAAGTTTATACCTCAATGACATTGTCGCCGATCTGCAGCCGGTGAAATCCTGGCTCCAAGAAGCCGAGCACCTGCAGGTTGGGCGCATGAGCAATCTTGATCATCATAGTACTCTCAGCACCTCCTGCACGGGGCGCTTCCAGCAAGAAGAGCCGCTCCAGGAGCGGGGCATCCACCACAGCAACCTCGTCTGCCATGAAAATCCAGAGGAGCACGCACCGGAGGCTTCTGCTCTGTAGGTGGATGAAATCGGGTGCACAGGTGAGTACGAACGCGAGCTTCTCCAGAACCGGGCTGCAAGCGAGCATGTAGTCGAGGTCCCCGTCGCTGATGCTGGTCGTGAACATGCTGAGTTCCTGGAGGCGGGGCAGGACGTCGGCTCGGCGGGAGAGACCAGCGGTGTCGGGGAACGTGAAGAAACCCAGGAAGAGGCGCTGGAGCGAGGCGCAGCGGAGGATGTCCCCGGGGAGGCGCACGGCGTCGGGGGGGAACCTGGCGAGGTCGGCGTCGTTGACGAGGACAAGGTCCTGGATGCCATTGGCAGCGAAGAGGCGCGGCCACTCTGCGATCTCAGGCTCGTGGGACGCGAACCGGCAGCGGGTGATGTGGATGGCGCGGAAGGGCCCCGGGTGGTCGGCAAGGACGCGGGCAACGACGGATCGGGGCAGGTCGGCGTCGTTGAGGGAGAGCGGGGTGGAGCGCCAGAGGTGGCGCCAGCGGGAGGCGAGGGAGGCGGTGCGGGCGGCGTCCTTGACGGGGAGGCGTGAGACGATGCTGCGGAGGAGGTCGTCGGGGAGGGCGCTGATGCGGTCCTCGCCGTCGTAGTCAACGGCGGGGGTGAGGGAGGTGGCACTTGCCACGGAATTTACACCGCCGGGGCGCCAGCCCATGACGTTCTCGACGATGGCGGCCATGGCCGGAACGGACTGGGGTGGCGTGGAGACGCGGCGGCGAGCGGCCTGAAGGGGACAAGCAAAATGGAGTGGAGTGGAGGCGCGGCGGCGACTGGAGTGAAAGTAGGAAGGGGAAAGTAGGACAGGGTTTTTACGGACTGGGCCAGCTAAATGTTGGAAGCGGCGTCCTATGGGCCCAACCGGCAGAAGGAATGGAATGTTCTTTCAATTATTTACTTCTACCGATGCTATCTCCGGTTGATCAGGAGCGAGTCCTATGCTTAGGAAAATCATTACTCCCCGTGCACAGACCATTATTATATCTAAAGTTGCTGACTTTATTATTGATCAAAAAATGTTACGTTGCAGTGTTGCACGAGCAGCTAATACTAGCTGCATCCTGATTTATTGGCACTCTCGTATTTAGGGTCATCATAATTTTTACTAATAAAATATAAATTATATGTAGAGAAAAATATCATAAAAACTATGTTTAAATATGAGTCCAACGGTATAATCTTTTGTGACATACATTAACATTTTTTAGTTAATTTTTTGTTAAAATTTGACACGAAAAAAGAAGGGGGCAAATAAACCAGGACATATGTAGTAAATGATATCTTTAACGTGACGTCAGAGAATCTTACAAATCCCTCTAAATTACCTAGCCTTTTATGATTTCTTTGCTTGGTATCTAAATAGGAAAATTGTCTAAAAAAATTTAAACAGAAACAAAACTTTCTCTATGAGTGGATACATAAGTTTGGGGTCATGCAATTCTAAAACAAGGTCGGGAGGTTCTAACATACTGGCTATATGGCTTTGGTAACTACAAGTTTCACACAAAGTTAGATGTGTTGTTGGCTTCATGGGATTATGCCTTTGAAAACCATACTTGTTGCATATTAATTGGGGCGATTGGGGCATGCTCCGTGTGTAACGTAGCAGCAGAGGATACACGACATACCTTATTGAATGTGCAAATTCCACGGAACTTTGGATTAGGCTAGGACTCATCAAATTGATTGACTTGGTAATCCAAGTGGACCAGTGAGGATTTCTGGTTCTCGAAGCATTGTTTGAACTCCGGGCGAGTAATGTTCACATTATGCCTTCTTTGAATCACAGTGACGCCATTTGCCGTAGGCTGTTGGTGCCTATGGTGGATTCAAAGACAAATTACCGATAATGAACATACTCCACCTCCTGTACAATGGTCGATCTCAATCCTTGGCATAGCAAGTAATTTTATAAAATCTCGTTTGAAGAAGCCCATTGTTTCGGATGACGAATGGAGTAAGCCAGACCCGAAGTTCATCAGGGTTAAGGTTGATGTGGAGTTTTATGAAGATGAAGGGCCACTTTTTACCAGTGGAACGCAAATTCATGCCACATGAGTCAGACACGATGATGTTGGAAGCGATGGCTATGTGAGATTGATTAGACCTTGCAAATTCCCTTGGCTTCCATCAGCGTTGAAGCAGAATCAAATTCTCTTCACCCGCAAAAAAAAATCTCTTAATGTTATCAACTTCTCATGGGTCAAGCACAGTGGTGAGATATTACAATAACAATTTTTCGTGAAATGTGTGGATACCACAACGAATATTGGAAAGATCAACTTTAAACATTGTCCTCGTATGGTTAATAGTGTGCCTCATGAGCTAGTTCAGTTTAGCTACTATAATAAACTTTTTTAATAATTGGGTTGACGAGGCCCGGACTGCATTGTCAATAAACTTGTGAAGGATGTAAATGTTCTCTGAGTTAATAAAGCAACCATGATAGTCTTCACTAAAAAAAGAGCAACTGCAGTGCAGACCACGTAAACTCAGAGTTAATAAAGCAACTGTGATGGTCTTCACTAGAAACAAGAGCAATCCCCAATGCGGACCACAAAAATGGACACAACAAATGTCTGTGGACACATCCAGACCTGTTCATGGATTGGGTTAGTTGCAGACACCACCCAACAGGTGTCACCAAATGTCCGCTCAAGAATTTTTTTTGCCTCTACCCAAAGTACTCAAAATAGACAAAGTTAAACAACACAATTCTTAAGCAATTGTGGGATAAATATTCCAATACAACAACAATTTAAAATAAAAATATCACAATCAAAACATAAAGCTTTGAAATAAATTAGTTCAAGTTTGAAGTCAACTTAGTTGGAAACGTGTTCTTTAACAAGTCATCACCAACGAATCAACTTCAGAGATTTTATCGGCACAAGTAACCAATGGCAAACAATAGAATGAGCTTAAATCCCAATGGTTCAGACTTCAGGCGCACACGTGGGGCCCAACTGATATGTCTATACCACTATATAGTGTGCCAATAGCTTCAAATATTAGTCGTTGGATATGCCCATTCAATGGTCAAGAAATTGAAGGAAATATGCCCTAGAGGCAATAATAAAGTTATTATTTATTTCCTTAATTCATGATAAATGTTTATTATTTGTGCTAGAATTGTATTAACCGAAAACTTAGTACATGTGTGAATACATAGACAAAACATATAGTCCCTAGTATGCCTCTACTTGACTAGCTCGTTAATCAAAGATGGTTATGTTTCCTAACCATAGACATGTGTTGTCATTTGATGAACGGGATCACATCATTAGGAGAATGATGTGATGGACATGACCCATCTGTTAGCTTAGCATTATGATCGTTACAGTTTCATTGCTACTGCTTTCTTCATGACTTATACAAGTTCTTCATACTATGAGATTATGCAACTCCCGAATACCAAAGGAACACTTTGTGTGCTACCAAACGTCACAATGTAAATGGGTGATTATAAAGGTGCTCTACAAGTGTCTCCGAAGGTGTTTGTTGGATTGGCATAAATCGAGATTAGGATTTGTCACTCCATGTTTCAGAGAGGTATCTCTGTGCCCTCTGGTAATACTCATCACTATAAGCCTTGCAAGCATTTTGACTAATGAGTTAGTTGGGGGATGAAGTATTACGGAACGAGTAAAGAGACTTGCCGGTAACGAGATTGAACAAGGTATGATGATACCGACGATCGAATCTCGGGCGAGTAACATATCGATGACAAAGGGAACAACATATGTTGTTATGCAGTTTGACCGATAAAGATCTTCGTAGAATATGTAGAAACCAATATGAGCATCCAAGTTCCACTATTGGTTATTGATCGGAGACATGTCTCGGTCATGTCTACATAGTTCTCGAACCCGTAGGGTCCGCACGCTTAACGTTCGATGACGATTGGTATTATGAGTTTATGTGATTTGATGTACCGAAGGTTGTTCGGAGTCCCAGATGTGATCACGGACATGACATGGAGTCTCGAAATGGTCGATACATATAGATTGATATATTGGATGGCTATGTTCGGACACCGGAAGTGTTCCGGAAAAGTTTCAGATAAAACCGGAGTACTGGGGGTTACCGGAACCCCCCAGGAAGCTATTGGGCCTCATGGGCCTTGGCGGAGAAGAGAGAGGGCTGGCCAGGAGGTGGCGCGCGCCTGCCTTGCCCTAGTCCGAATTGGACAAGGGGAGGGGGCGACGCCCTCCTCCTTCCTTCTCTCCTCCTCATCCTTCCCCCCTTCTCCTTGTGGGAATAGGAAAGGGGGGGGGGGTTCCTACTTGGCGTAGGACTCCCCCCTGCGCGCGCCACCCTTGGTTGTCCTCCTCCTCCCTCCTTCCTTTATATACAGAGGAGGGGTGCACCCCATAGACACACAAGTTTATCTTTAGCCATGTGCGGTGTCCCTTCCACAGTTTTCCACCTCGGTCATATCGTCATAGTGCTTAGGCGAAGTCCTGCGCCGGTAACTTCATCATCACCGTCACCTCACCGTTGTGCTGATGGAACTCTCCCTCGGCCTTAGCTGGATCTAGAGTTTGAGGGACGTCACCGAGCTGAACGTCACCGAGCTGAACATGTGCAGATCGCGGGGGTGCCGTGCGGTCGGTACTTGATCGGTTGGATCGCGAAGACGTTCGACTACATCAACCGTGTTAACTAAACGATTCCGCTTTCAATCTATGAGGGTACATGGACACACTCTCCCCTATCGTTGCTATGCATCACCTAGATAGATCTTGCGTGATCGTAGGATTTTTTTGAAATTACCGTGTTCCCAACAGTGGCATCCGAGGCAGGTCTATGCATAGATGTTATTTGCACGAGTAGAACACAAAGAGTTGTGGGCGATAATAGTCATACTACTTACCAGCATGTCATACTTTGATTCGGCGGTATTGTTGGATGAAGCAGCCCTGATCAACATTACATGACCGCGTTCATGAGACTGGTTCTACCGACGTGCTTATGCACATAGGTGGCTAGCGGGTGTCGGTTTCTTCAACTTTAGTTGAATCGAGTGTGGCTAAGCTCGGTCCTTGTTAAAGGTTAAAACAACACACTTGACAAAAAATCATTGTGGTTTTGATGTGTAGGTAAGAACGGTTCTTGCTAGAAGCCCGTAGCAGCCACGTAAAACTTGCAACAACAAAGTAGAGGACGTCTAACTTGTTTTTGCAGGGCTTCCTGTGATGTGATATGGTCAAGACATGATGTGATATAAACTATTGTATGAGATGATCATGTTTTGTAACAAAGTTATCGGCAATTGGCAGGAGCCATATGGTTGTCGTTTTATTGTATGCAATGCAATCGCCATGTAATTGTTTTACTTTATCACTAAGCAGTAGCGATAGTCGTAGTAACAATGATGCTATGATGGAGATCAAGGTGTCGCGCTGGTGACGATGGGGATCATGACAATGCTTCGGTGATGGAGATCATGAGCACAAGATGATGATGGCCATATCATGTCACATATTTTGATTGCATGTGATGTTTATCTTTTATGCATCTTATTTTGCTTAGTACGGCGGTAGCATTGTAAGATGATCCCTTACTAAATTTCAAGGTACAAGTGTTCTCCCTGGGTATGCACCGTTGCTACAGTTCGTCGTGCCGAGACATCACGTGATGATCGGGTGTGATAAGCTCTACGTTCACATAAAACGGGTG